TATATAAAATTTTAATATTATTTACAAAATTTTCTCCAAATCCAAATCGACTTAAAAGATTAAATAAATATGGCAGAGAAACTCTATCAAAAGCTTTCTCGGAATCCAAACTGAGTATGAAAAGGGGCAAATCTTCAAGTTCTACAAAACTTATAATATCCCTTATATTGGAGACATTTTGAGCGATGTCTCGTCCAGGTATGCAACAACTTTGTTCAGGGGAGACAACTGATGCTATTACATTTTTCAAACGTAAAGCTAACGTTCTAGAGAAAAATTTTGTAGTCTTGGCCTCCAATTTTTTAGATCACATTTATCTCCCCTGTTTTTATAAAATAAAGATATATTACCGCGTTGCATCGTCTTACTTAAAGAACCATTTTCCTGAATAGTTTTAATGACATTAAAATATACAGGCGATAAAACATCCCAAAAATGCAAAAAGAATTCAACAGTAATGCCATCGGGACCAGGTGATTTACCCCTTTTCATACCTTTGAGGGAATTATGAAGTTCATTTACTGTTAAATCGTCATCACACATAAATTTCTCATTTTCATCAATATTTCTATCAATTAAATTGAACAAAGTATTTTGGTCATTCAAATTCACATCTTCACTAGTATAAAGTTTGGTATAAAATTTAACCGATTTATGTAATATATCAACAATATCAGAAACATAATTACCGTCAGACGTTTTAAGGTTCTTGATAACATGTGCCCCCTGCCTTGACTTTTCTAAATTTAAGAAATATTTTGAATTTTTATCGCTTTCAACTGTTTTATCAGACTTCGATCTCAAAATTGCTCCATCACATTTTAAAGTTTCATATTTCTTTAGCGATTCTCTTAACTCAAAAATTGGATTGAAATCATATTGAGGATTCTTGCTCACCTTGCCATAATGAAATTTCAAAGCAGTTTGCAAATTCCAAAATTCAGTTTGCAGTTTCTTTCGCTCACTTTGAGCATGGAGAATACTAACCTGCTTAAACTTGAATTTTAAATTATCCCACCAATAAAGTGGCTCATTAAGATATAAATCAGTTTCTAATTCTCTCTTTAGAACATCTTTTATCTTATCACAGAATTTAAGATCTTTTAAATAAGAATTGTTAAAGATCCAAACACCAGGCCCCCTATCGGGATGACTAAAATTAAACAGAGCTGTTACAAAACTATGATCACTTAGAATAAAACAATAAGATATATAGTTTAATAAATGGGAGGTAACTAGTATATAATCTATTCTTGACTGATTCAGCCCACCTTTAAATACTTGCTGACGAGTGAATTCCCTTTTGTCTGGGTTCTTTCGTCTCCAAATGTCATATAGATTGTTGTTCAAAATGAAATTGGGCAACAAATCTGATACACGACCATATGCCGTCATATTTTTCGACCTGTCCGAATACGAACAGCAAACATCATTTAAATCTCCGCAAACAACATAGTTCACAGAGCCATCTAAATGGTTTGAAACACTATCAAAAAATGAGGAACGTTCATGAGTGTCATTCGGGGCATAAATACACACAATATTAAAATCAAAAGAATCAAGTGAAATATTACACTCAATAATTCTACCTGAATTATCACTATAAACTTTACTTGAATGTTTTGCGAAACGTTTTGAAATAAGGATTGCACAGCCCTTGAACCCACCAGAACAGTTGGAATAGAAAATTTCTCCGTCCCACAAGTGTCCATATGATTCTATGAAAATATCTGTCCAATGAGTTTCTTGAACACATATTATATCCAAATTTTTCTCACGACAACTAGCGATTAACTTATTGAATTTTGTTATGCTGTTTAAGCCGTTCACATTTAAAGTTGCTAATTTAACCATTATTAAAAAGTTTAGGAGTAATAGTTTTATAAATAACACTAAAAACATTATTTGAGTGTCAAAGATTGCGTATTGCCACCTAATTTGTAACTATTTTTCAAACTTTCATCGCTAATTTTTGGTTTACCTTTCTTTCTTGCAGATTTAAGAACAGCACTCTTTGACGGACCAGTAACCATAATTCTTCGTCGATAGTGCTTCCCTAGAGATACACCAGTCGTAGAATCATGCAGTTTTGTACCATCACATAACTCACCAGTTTCATCAACACTTACAGCAACCTCCATAGCACCTTCAGAATAATAATCATCAACTTTTCCGCCAGCTTCATGGCCAGTGGTTTCTGAAGAACCAACGTATTTCATATCAACATTACGGGCACTAATTTCATTAGGATCAGAAGTAACATTTTTACCAGTAGAACTAACAATTACATCATTTTTATTAATAGTTTTATCACAAATTTCATTTTGTTCAATTTCAAAACGTTTATCATTTTTAAAAACATTGGTAGTTGCATTAACAACTTTGTTACTATTAGCGTCTACATTTGCAACAACATTTTCTAAAGTTTTATTAAAAATATTATCAGATTTGATATTGCTTTTTCCAGAATTGCTATCAAAATTACCAACATTATTTTCTGAATTACCATCATTCTTATAAGAATTACCATCAATCATATCAGAATTATCACCATTTCCATTTGAATTATCACCATTTTTATCAGAATTATCACCATTTCCATCAGAATTATCACCATTTCCACCAGAATTATCACCATTTCCACCAGATTTATCACCATTTCCATCATGATTATCACCATTAACAGAATTATCACCATTTCCACCAGAGTCGCAAGAACTTGCACCAATGGAAACCTTTTCATAATTTTCAATAACAATTTCATCATCAAACAATGTCGATTCAGCAACAACACAGTCACACTGCCAATCATACCTTCTGCATCTTTTGCAAAAGATTGCTTCACATGATCTTTTGCCATGACCTTGTTTTGAGCACCTAAAACATTTAAAGTCAGGACAATTTGATAAAACATGACCTGGTTTCAGACACAGAAAACATACTTTTTCCTGGTCATCATGTTTGACAAGATAGGAAACACCATCAAAACCCGTTGCATATGGAGGGCTAGGCACATTGGGTGTAAATTCAACTTTAACAAACCTGGTACCATCAAATTTCCTTCTACCATTAAATTCAAAAGATCTTCTTGATATTGGCGAAACAGGCTTCACACCCCAACCACAAAGTTTTTCCGCTATAGCTGCATCAGTAACATAAACTGGAATATTCATAAAAGAAACAATTTTTATACGGGAATTCGCAAAAATTCACAAGAAAATCCATCAGATCCACTA